CCAATTCCTAGTCAAACATATGGAGTCGGAGGTAGTGGACCTGGCCACGTTGGCATTGGAAGCACACCTTTCCCAACTCAAACGCATGGAACTTTTGGTAGTGGGTCTGGTAATATTGGTTTTGGAAATAAACCAAATTTGTATGATCAACAACATACAGGGCAACCGAATAATGGTAAATTACCAAGTGGATCTTCTGGTACCTTTGGTGCTGGATCTGGTAGCAAACCTGGTGCATCTTCCGCTCCTTGTGATGATGACGGAACACCTTTACAAAAGAACGTACCAATTTCTTCTGAAGCATTTGGAACAGCTAGTAGTGGCATTGGATTTAATGCTAACGGGCAATCTGGTTTTGGGAGTCAAAATTCTTATCAATTTAATACAGGAAATCCTTTCCTACATGGTGGACAAATTAATTCTAAACCAAACATATACCCAACTAGTTCACCTTTCTCAAACAGTCTCAGTACCACTGTTAAACCAATTGGTCATGGAAATCCTTTTCTAGATGGTACCATAACCCACACATTCGGATCTCAACATGGTAATAACGACAAGAATACCCTTGGGGTAATTCCAATTAAAAATAACGACGTGCCAAATAAGCCTATTGGTGTTGGTAATCCATTTTTATCAAACGGAAGTGGAGGTAGTTCTTCATTTGGTACCGGAATCCATCCTGGTATAAATATAGGAAACATTTCACCATCAACTGTTAAACCAATTGGACAAAACAATCCATTTTTTGGAACATCGAGTGGAAATTCAGTAAATAAATACCCTAGCGGAGTTGATAGCAACAAAAATACACCTTTTGGAAGTGGAACTTCTAATCCTTCTTCCTCCAACGATCAAAATTCAAATGTACAATTTCCAAAATCAAAAGAAATATCAGGAATACCAGGAGTAATAGGAATTTCATCTTCCGGAACTTATTCAAATACAAATCAAGGAGTTAAGGGTGGCCAACACCATAACCCAACATTAGGAAGTGTTGCAACAAGTAACGCAGGAGCTTTCAGTTCTGGATTCAATACACCTAATGCATACAATAATAATAATAATAATAATAATGCTGGTCACGGTACAGGTTCGTTGATAGGAACCGCTAATATTAAAAAACCTTCTTACACGCTTTTAAATTCTCCTGATACGTCATCGCAAACTAATGGCAATGGAAATTCCTTGTCCAATTCTTTGAACAATGGAAATAATCCAAATGGTCAATTTAATAATCAAATAGCAAATGCCGGAGCGCAATCATTTGCAGGTGCTAGTGCAGGTGCTAGTGCAGGAAGTTACGCTGGTTCTTTCAGCAGTTCTCAAGCATCCAGTTCGAGTTCCAGTTTTGCTAGCAGTAAATCTGGATCGTATTCAGTTAACGGAGGTTTGCTATTCTTATAATTTTTGTTTATATTAAACAATTATTATTATCTTTCTTATATTTTTCATTCGTATTTTACAGATCCGAATATTTTCCATCAGCTGGATGGAAATTGGCCGCCTTTCAACGTGGCTAGAAGTTTAGATGGAACCAATTCTGGATGGCCATCTTTAAATGCAGGATCCCAAGCTTCTGCATTTGCGAGCAGCAGCGCAGGAAGTTTGTATTTTTAAATTACATATTTATTAATTTACAATATTTTCTTGATTGCACATTAATTTCCTAATTTTATTTTTAGGTTGGTCAGGACCACAACCATTCGGTGTTAAAAGTAGATAAATTAAATGTTAAAGCATACAAATATGGAAGAAACCGAAACTGCAACTTTAAAGAGCAAACTATTATCGTTTAAGGTGGAGATTTTAATTAGCATAAGCAAAGAGCAAGAGATATAACGCTTGAAAAAATTATTAAATATATTTAAAATAATTTTCAATTGTGTGTTTGTGGAAAATAATATTGTTTTTTTTCGCCCAGATATATTTCGTTAACCTTGTTTACCGATACCTACACTTAACCTCAAAATTATTATTCTTCAAATGTCAGTACTACTAACTTTGATATGAAAAAGAAATTGACTTCATCGCATTACCATTACATTGTATAATAATGTGTTTTATTATCATATCAAGCACACACGTGAGTTCATTCATAAGTTTTAGAAATGAATGAATTCAAGATGAATGCATTCACGATCGATAATCATTGGTCGTAATCCACATGTGCCAAGCACGTGACACATTTTAGAACCAATCAGAGTGCCGCTTAGAGTTATTATTGGGGTGGGGGGAAGGTTGCATTGCAATTAAGATTATATTGATCGTTTCTAAATAAATGCAATAATTAATTTTGTTTATAACTTACCCGTTCGATTTGTTATTAACAAATTATATTATTAAAATCGTAATTGTTTGAAAGAAATATGATTTAAAAACATATTAAAAAATAGTGATGCGCATGATGATAAAATAAAAACTTCGCAATTGTATATACTTTAGGCGTTTAAAGGTATATTTCACAAATCGTATTTTCCTTTTACATGGTTGCTGATATTCTAACAGAAACAGAATTCGTAAAAACCTCGGAAAAACGATGGGTAGAAATATATAATATAACACAATATTGCAGAGAGCTTTTTAGGGCTCTTATTATTTTTATACACGGTGTGCATTTCACGTGAGACTATCGATTAAAAATTGTTATTCGATAAAATAGAACCATCTTCCTAGATAGAAAGGATTTTACATCCAACAAACATTTTACCAGTTCTTTAGAGTAATCTTTCTGTTTGTTCCTTTTTTCTTTTTCTTTTTTTTTTATCATTCTTTCATTATTTTTATTTAATATTTTTTCTTTTTCTGCTTCCCTTTCGTTAATTTCTTTCCCTTACACCATTTCCTCGATCTTCTTCTAATCATTTTCATGTTTTTTTTTTAAATGTTTCTTTTTTTATCTCGTGCTCGACACTTGTCTCCTTCTTTTGTTATCTACATTTACAACTATTCAGTACATAGAAGAGACAACGTTTGCGCACCACCTGTAAATATACATATCTTTATTTATTTATTTATTTATTTATTTATTCATTTATTTATTTAATCTTAACGTGTAAACAATTTGACAAAGTGCTTTTAACAAATGCGATTCCCTTTACTTATTTATTATTTTATTCCTTTCTCGTTCTTTAATAATTACTTCTTTTTTTTTCTTCTTTTTTTTGTTTTTGTTTTAATTATTATTATTTTGTCATCGTCGCGAGAGGAGGTCGAGGACACTTTTTTTTTTTTTTTTTTTTTTTTTCATTCATATCTTCTCGACCAAATTATTATTAATTAATATCACTTAAAAATCATCGCGTAATTCTTTACATTTAAGTTGAATGAACTGAACAATCTATTATTTTTCGCGTATACAAAGGAAAAAGATTGGATGAAATATGAAAAATTTATGGTGGATCAAAAGGGTCAATCAAAGGGTTAAAATAACAATTAGATAAAAAAACCAAAAATCAGGATCTGGGATAGGTCGTACAAGTATGCATGCAAGTATGCACGTTTGTATGTATGAATGTATGCATGTATATGTATATATATAATATATATATATATATATTTATATAATATATATAATAATGCCCTATTAAAACGGAAAGATTTTATTCGTCGAAATAGTTCAGAGTTCACTTTGGCAATGAGAGATAGTTTCATATACACGTATTTATCGCGCCATTTATTTTAATTAGATCATTTTATTGTGTGTGTGTGTGTGTGTGTGTGTTTTTTTTGTTCCTTTTTCTTTTTTCTTAATTTTTTTTCCTTTCCTTTATTTATTTTATCTATAGAACTGAGAACGATCGAAAGGAACCACACGATAGAAAGAGTCTTTCGTATTTTAACTTATAACAAACAAACAAACAAAAAAAAAAAGAAAAAAAAATCAACCTAACGCACACATACGTGTATTAATTTTCAATCGAGGTACTTAGGAGCGAAACTATACGAGTTTTATGGTATAAAAAAAAAGTTACTACGAGTATATAATATATAATAATAATTATAATAATAATAATAATAATAATAAAAATTATAATAATAATTATTATAAACATAATAATAAAATAATTATTATAAACATAATAATAATAATATTAATAATAATAATAATAATAATAATTCGAGTAACTGTCGTCAGGACGCAGTAGTTCCGTCAATAGCATCAACGACACAACGACGATTAATAATTATTAATAATTAATAGTCCTCTTCCTCTCTTTTTGTTTTTTTTTGTTGTTGTTGTTGTTTTTATTGATTATTATTTTCTTCCTTTCATTTGATTTATTTTATCCGTCATTATCACCATTTGGAATTTATCTTTTTATCAGACAACCACATAGATACATACACACGCGTTCAAATCACTGACTCACGCTACCACCACATATGCCCCAACACGAATTTTATTTTTCTTCTTTCCTTTATCTTCATATTCTTCTTTTTCTTTTTCATCTTCTTCTTCTTCTACCTCCTCCTCCTCTTCTTGGCTGTTGTTGTTATCGTTGTTGATTTTTTTAATAACATTTAACCCCCTTTCTACGTTCACCACACACACAAACGTAGAATAATAATTTAATAATTAATTTCCTTTTTTTTACGCACGCGCGCGTAGTCAATTTTATTATTTCAAATTGTCATTCATCGTTTTTTGTATGATATTACTTTTCTTTTCTTTTTTTTTTTGCCCTTTTTTTCTTATTTTTAAACTTCATTTATTTTCCTTACCCACCCCCCTTCACGTTAATTCGTTATATTACAATAATAATTTGCATCTTTCACGTGCGAGAACTAAACAACAACAATGACGAAAGAAAGAAAGAAATAAACCCCACCCCACCCTCCCCCCCCTTCATTTGCGATCTGACACGAACACAGGAAACTTTGTTTTTCCATTTCTTTTTTTTTTATTTCCCATTAAAGTCAGACGTATTTTTTTCGCTTAACTATATTGCACGATTTTTCTTGTCTTCGGTTTTTTTTTTATTCTTAAAACTTAGACAAAGAAGAAAAAGAGAGAAAGAGAAAGAGAAAGAAAGGGAGATAGATAAAGAGAGAGACAGAAAGAATGAGAGAGCAGCACCTCAGGGAAACGAAATAATTTTCTCATTTTTGTTTTTTTAGTCCAGCACAAACGTCTTGTTGAATGCAATGTCACAAGCAATAAGATCATTTTAAAAACAAAAAAACAATGTTCCCCCGTTTTTTAAGGGCTAACCACTAGAATCTAATTTATCTAGTTGTCATGAAAAGTTCGCTTCCCCCCTCCCCTCTTTTGTCCCACCACCCCAGCTCCTTTAAATCGTAACTCGTAACACCTCACAATATTATTTAAGATTAAAATAAGTAATGTCAGGCTGCATGGGGTTGACAAAAAAGTGTTATGGGGATTACAGTCACAGCACGATTATCATTACCTTAAGGTGTGCGAGACGACGAAGAGGGGGGAGACGGGAAACACAACAGGATTCGATCTTTTCTCGAGGGTGGGGTGGGGGGTTGAACGTGCGAGACGAGGAAAAGACACTTCCGACAATTATTCTTCATTATAGTTTCCTTTTTTTCTCGTCCAATGATAAGATCGTTAATAATCTGTTTAAATTCGTCATCGAAGAAAACGAGTTTTGTTTTTGTTATTTATTTTATTTTTTGTTTTTTGTTTTTTTTCTTTTTCTCAAAAGGAATAATACTCGAAGGTAAAGGGAAGAAAAATCGATCATCACGTTGCCTATACTTTATCTTCGAATTGATATGCATACGAGAGAGTTAGTGAAGAAAGAAAGAGAGAGAGAGAGAGAGAGAGAGAAAGAGAGAAAGAGAGAGAGAGAGAGAGAGAATGTCCCGTCAGTCCGAATGTTCTTTTTTCATTTTGTTATTAAGAACAATTCGAGTTATTATTTAAGTACACGCGTGTCGCGTACAGCACTGGGACGCCACTAGGACGTTGAACCGTACCAACTGTTCGCCGTAGCTTTGTTAGAAGGGTGATAGATATGAAATCCGGCTGCCGCGGCTGCCGCAGCTGCAGCTGGGTGATGATAAAACTGTGCTTGTTCACCGAGACCAGCTGAGGCGTACGCTGCCGCAGCATCGAGGGCACTCGGGTGAACTGTAGCCGAGTAAACTTGTGGTTTCAAAGGTAAAGGTTGGGCAGGTTCGTATTGGTGACGCAACACGGGTTCCCCATAGGCCGACGTGGTGTCGTACGAGCTGATCACGTTGACTGGGTGAAGTTGTTGTTGCTGTTGTTGCTGTTGCTGCTGTTGTTGTTGTTGCTGCTGTTGTTGCTGTTGCTGCTGCTGCGTTTGCTGTTGATGATGATGGTGGTGATGATGTTGTTGCTGTTGTTGTTTGTCGCGAGGGGATACCGATGACGGTGGAGTCATGGCTGAATGATAATCAACCGCGTAACCACCAGCCGTCGAATAGGACGATACTAAACTCGTGAAAGCATCGGTTCCGCAACTGTTACCACCTGTCGTAGCCTTTTGATTGTGTGTCGTTAAAACAAATTGATGTTCCCCGTAGGTACTCGAACCTTCGGAACCCGGGGGTGTCGGTAACGGCCCGTTCTGTCCAGTCTCACTTGCATAATAAGATCCACCCGACGAAGGTGTCCTCGCACCACCAGCCGACGTTATCCCATGAACGTTGGCACGTATAACGCTTTCTCGATTAGCGTAAAGTTGCCTAAGAAGAGCGGAAGCTGGTAATGGTGCAGTCGCCGATTGTTGTGGACTCAAATGACCAAGATGATGATGATGAGCACCTATCCATTGTATCGTACTTCTCTGTTGTTGTTGCTTCAACAAGGCATCCGTACTAAAATCTGTTGGTTGATGAAGACTCGGGGAATTGGATTTGTTCAATGCAGTACCAGGTAAATGTTTCGACATTGCTTGTTCCAAATCTTTAACCGATGTCCCAGCGGTTGTTCCAACACCACCAACGCTTCCAGGACCGGTATCGGTCCCGACATTGTTCTGACTACCTGGATTACTATTACCACCAACACCACCAACGTTTTCAACGATATCCGCCGTACCAGACCTAGCCGTTCCATCACCACTTCGTCTTGATTTAGGACTCGTCGCGCACAATACTTGTTCGTTAGTTGAAATCGAATTATTCGATGGGGTCGGACTCAAAGGATTGTTCCTCTCGTTGTTAGCCACTTTTTCAGTAACTTCCTCCTCCTCGTCCTCCTCGTTCGAACTACTTTCCTCCTCGTGCAGTTTACGTTTGTGTCGGCGCAACTTAACAACCAATGTACTGATATTTCCTATCGCTGCTTGCGGTTCTTGTTGCAATTGGGCCATGCTGTCGTGATGCCTGTTCCCTCTTTTCTCGCTCTCGGAACCTCTGGTATCCTCACGATCTTCCGGCGGGGAACGATGAGGATGTTCTTGATGCTGATTTGTCGGACCTCCGCGACTCCGTCCTTCTGAAATAATACGGAAGAATCTCTTTTCTATTTTTACATTGATTTTCTTATTTCGATATTTAGGTTTAACCCTTTCGTTACGATTCCATGCTTCAGCAATGGGAATATCGTTTCACATAGAAATTCGTTCGTTGTACGAATCCTATATGGGTCACTATTCTAAAATCTTTGATTGGTAACGAAAGGGTTAAATACGTTTTTTTATGTTTTTCTTTTTCTTTTTAATCGATTTAGTTTCGTTACACGATATCGATTTTTCTAACATCTAGTTGTTCGTGTGTATGTTACTTTTTTTTTTTTAATACAAAACAAAAAAATAAATAAATATTGAAAAAATTATTTGTTAATCATGCTAACGCCTAAATAATACGTATGTATCGATTTCTTTTTTTTTTTCCTTAACATGAGATACTCTATCAATTTCTCTCACGTGGATAATTATCGAAAACACACGTGAATAATATCTTTTTTTTTTTTCTTTTTGATCGAATGGTTTCTTTTTGCTTCTTTTTTTTTTTGTTGTTGTGCCAAAAAAGTATCAACGATTTATAAAAGTGTTTTTATTGATAATAATTAATTCGAGTTAATAAAGGTAAAGAAGGAACTTTTTTGTATTTCTATTTTCTTTTCTTTTTTTTTAAACTTTGTTTTTGCCATGACATTATTATGCTTACGAGAATCGAAAGATGAGGTAGAGAGTAAAAGACTTGTAAACGTAGTGTGATATAAATAATATATATTTTAAACACGGGCGAGCACCTTACAGGCGTTTCACGTGTGTTTCCGGATCGTTCGGAAGATCAGGACGACGGAGGTACCGTGGCATTCTAATTTTGACCATTATCAGACATTTCCTGCAAAGGAACAAAAGTTCGTTAGGGAAAGTAATCTCGATAATTCGCCGATTTGTCGCGACAAGTAAAAGAAAGAAAGAAAGAAAGAAAAAAAAAAATACAAATTTAATCTCTACGCACGCACGAATGTTTATTTTTATCATGATGTAATTCCACGTAAAAAAAAATATAAGGAAAAAATAATGGAAAAGAACAAGCTAATTTTGTATTATTGTCTATCGTAAACACTTTGTCCCAGCGCTAAGAAATGTCACTAAAAGATTATTATGTTTTTTACCTGTATCGAAATAATTAACGTTATTTTATGCACACGCGTCGAATGGGTTTTTGGTCGATAAATTTTCGAACCAAACACCTCGTATATTTTTTATGACATAAGAATTTGACATTGGAATTAAACATTGTTTTAAAAATAGAAAGGAGAAAAAAAAAACAACAACAACAACAACGATAGATTGCCTGTCTTTCTTAACGAACGATCAAATTTTTAATAATTCGATTGGGAAGACAAACAAACACAAATATACCTCCTCTGTCGGCATCAGGCGAACCATTTTCTGGATCATTTCCTGTCGCGTCCTCTCGTTTAACACCGGTAACACCGTCTTCCAGTTGACAACAATCCATTATTAAATTCTCGTATTCACGACCACTGTAATAACAAATTAATTGGGCATATATTTTAATTAGCTTATTATTTGTTTGAATTTGTGTGTGTAGATAGATTTAATTAATTATACATACCTTATTACATAATTAACACAAATGATGTTTTGTTCTTCAGCGTTTTTCGAATTACACACAACGGTCGCGCACGTTTGCAACCACGTGTAACCACCGCTTTTGTTCATTAATCGATAATAATGCGTCAATACTTGTCCTTTGTGGATTACTAAAATTGAAACAACAACAAAATTCGTAAGAATCAATTCAATAAATAATAGATTCATTCAAAAACACAACATTTTTCTGACTCACGATCTATATGTGATTTTCTAAGACGATTCGCATCCTCGCCATGACACAGGGTGTACAAATTTTTACCCGTTAATTCATCGGCTGTATAATCCAATAATTCAGATACCCTGTAATTCAAACATCGACAAGTATTTTTACAATTGATTAGAATTATTTAATAATAACAGATGACAATGGGGCTATAAAGGGAATCAGATAACATCTTCAAACCTTTCCTAACCTAAATCTTATATACAGGAATTTAATTATTTATTAATTATTACCCTACAAAAATAGGCAACCTTTTATACACCATTGATAATAATGCTCGCGAGCACCATCTATTGGAAAGAAAATTATCAAGTCCCATAGGTAACAGGATATTTTCAAATTTAACGACGGTTGCTTTTCTCTTTTGTATGAACATAAAACTGCTGACAGATGGCGCTAGTAAGCAATTTAATCAATGGCGTGTAAAGGGTTGAATATTTTAATATCCAACAAATGCTTATTTGCATAAAATTTAAATAATTAAAGCCGAATAAATAAATATAAAGGATCGATAATAATTCAATTAAGTCAAGCAACAAACTAATCAATCAAATATTCTATTAGCATGAAAATATTATTCCCGAGAAGAATATTGTACGAGGTAATTGATATTCTATTAAAAAAATATAGGACGACATTTAGGACATCGGGCTGAGACACTTACTTTGGTTCGCAATGTGCTATCCGAAAATCAAAATTGATACGAGTGACAAACATGTCAGTCTCCAATCGGATTTCGTGTACACTCGGTGGCGGAAGTGCAATAGCCAAGCCGACCATACCCATCAATGGCGGTGCTGTCTTTCTCGTATGACTAAACGTGTACTGTGGTCTCAAACGACACAACAGTAGGACGACCTATATTTCATAAAATCAATTACAAAAGGGACACCAATAAAAAACAAGTAACCCAATTGTACCTAAACAATTGAACTTACCCTATAACCCGAAGATTTAAAATGGCAACCCCTTTTCGTTAACGAGGACTTCATTCTCACGCAAAATGCACGATCGTAACCTTTGTAAAGACCACTAGCTGATAACGACATCAACGAAGACACTGTAAATAAGATAAATCCAAAAACAAAGAACTATTAGATTTATTAAACAATTATAAATATTTCATTAATTAGAAATAAAACTTATATACCGTCAGGATTAGCTGTCGAGGATGAGCCATGTTCTTCCGAAGCGGCACTGCTCGGAGAAGCTAGACCGGAACTAGAGGAATGTGGACCGGAAGAGGTAGCGGACGAAGCCAATCCCAATCCCAATTGTTCAGCGACCTCGGCGTGGTCTTGCTGATGCACGTAATCGAAAACGCTCGATCCCGTCATTTCTACCTGAAATTCGTATAATAAAACTTTAACATTTATTCTTACGATTAACCTTGCGAATATAATAATTATAATATATTAAACTAATCAGAAATATGTGTGTTTAAGTCTTAGGTTAGAATAATGATTTATATACATATAACATACTTCCTCGAATAACTATACCTCTATAATACATAGGTGGATAGATAGAGAAAAAGAAAGAGAAAAAGAAAGAGAGGCGTACATATACACACATATACATAGACAAGACTTTATTTGTATTCTATAAACGAAGTTGGATGATGACGCGCGTAAGCCCAACGTCTATCGGTCACGCTTATTTTCTCGGTATTAAAATGTACGTAAGTACGATAGGTACGATAAGTGCATCGGGAAAACGAATAATAACAATTTGACCGTTCGTTATTTCTTTCATTCTTTCATTCTTTTTTTCTATCTATCCATCGCGTTCCTTCGTATCACCAACGTTCCTAGTCTCCACATACTCCGCCATTTTTGATAGCCCCCATTTAGCAAAGAAAGACTATCATATATATATATATATATACAGTTGATCTGAAAGGATAGTAAGAAAAAAGAAAGAGTTTTCAGAGTACATCTGTGTCCTGGTATCACATCCGATGAACCACCCTTGAATCTTACCAAGTCAAATAATACATTTTGGTAGACACCGTGGCTAGTTTTCTGTTAGAATAAGGAAATAAAATGACTATGGAAATAAAGAAAGTAAGAAGAAGAAGAGGAAGAAACAGAAGACATAAAGAAAGGTTCGGTCTTCTTGATGGCGGCAGCCATGTTTCTAGCTGCCACCGGTTTCCCGAATCCTCGAAACACCCTATTGATTGCTCCGCGAGAGTCTCTCGTAGAATCGAGCTGGTACACCGGTCACCTCCCTCACCTACCCCCGCCATATCCCTCTTTCTCGCCTTCCCTCACCTCCTCCTCCTCCTCCTCCTCCTCCTCCTACTACTCTTCCTTCTCTTTACTTCTCTCTCTCTCTCTCGCAATGGCTCCCTCTTGCTGCTGCTGCTGCTGCTGCTGCTGCTCTAACTCTCTCTCTCTCTCTCTCTCTCTCTCTCTTTTTCTCTCTCTCTCTCTGTGTTCCCCATCCACTCTACTACTACCTTCACGAGCTCGGAGCATTAGGAATGGCGAACACGCCGCCGTGCAGAGGCTACGTGAGCCGCATGCGACCACCTCCACCTCCATCCACCCATCCTTCCCTCGTCTATGTCATGCCTGGTGCCAACCAGTATGGCCGCCAACTCATACAACCTTCTCCTCTTTTCCCCCTTGACCTCTCCTCCTTATCCTTTTCTTCCACGCTATCAACTTTTCTCTCTCTTTCTTTCTTTCTTTCTTTCTTTCTGTCTGTCTGTCTATCTATCTATCTGTCTTTTTCTTTTTTCCGACAGTACTCTTTCCTTCTTATTCTACTTCTACTTCTTCTTCTTTTTCTTTTTCTTTATCTTTTACCTTCTACCTTCTACCTTCGTCCTGCAGGTACCCATCATTTGCGTGTTTTCCCTTCTTTATCCTCCTCCTCCTCCTCCTCCTCCTCCTCCTCTTCGTAGTCGTCGTCTTTGGCTTTCCTTCGTCACTTCCATGCTACTATTTTTGCCTTTCCGCTAATGTCCACCCATGTACGTACGTATGTCCCTCAGTTTCCTTTTTCTTTTCTTTTACTTTTTCTTTTGTTCCATTCATTTTGTTATTTTGTTGTCTTCTTATTCTTTAACTATACCGTCTTACTTTATTTTCTCCCTTTTTTCTTCACCACTCGCGAATTTTATATTCCTTTTCAGTTTACCCTATCCTTCCCTCGTCCCTGCCAACCCTTGTCCCTCACGTTCCGTCCCTTTTCATTTTCAAGGAAGAAGGAGAGTCAAGTGGGAGGATGGGGAGGGAACAGCAGCAACAGCAGCAGCAGCAATGACGTTGTTTAAAAATTTTTAGGAAATAGGAGTGGATACATGGTAAAGGTTATTTCTCACCTGTGAAAGACCTAGGTAGATCGAAACGGTCTCGGATATGTACAGGAACCTTCCATCAGCTGCAACCGCCATCGCGAAACCATCCAATGACTGTAAAGAAACGTTAAAATGCATAATTTATTTCACTATCCTATCTGTTCTATCGTTTTTTTTTTTGTTATTATCATCGTTCGGTTGGAGAAAAAAAAAAACAATTTACGTACCTGTAATATATGGGTACCCTGGTGTACCTCGAAATGATCTACCGCCGCGTTAGCTGCCGACCTAACGCGATTTGTACCTAAGAACAACAACAAAAAATGTTTCATTATTATCAATTAACGTTTTGGGGATAAACCATTATATTATTTAAATCTAAAATTTAAAAATTTTCCAACCCCCTCCCCTCGCCCACCACGAGTTTCGCATTAACTTTCAAACGAATTTCTTATAACGTCTCACATTTTCTTTTTATTATTATTATTATTATACAACTTATTTAATTTATTCCGCTCGGTTTTTTATGCTAAATCTGTCGTAGCATTGAGGAATATCTATCGAAGATAGTATTATTTCTTTTTTATTATTCGAAGACAAAGACAAGTATCTAGCAATTGTATAATTTATTCCATTGTTTAATCAACAACATTTCTGATAAAAATGTTTCCTTAGAAACATAAAATTAAGTAAAATTGACAGGAAATGTATGAGAATTTCAGTGATATTGAAGATATAAAATATAGATGGAACTAGTATAAATCTAATAAATGATTAATGAAAAATGTATTGAATAAATTGTTGTAGATGTAGAGATCGATTGACCATAGCGTTGAAAGGTATCTTGAGTTTATTTGGGCTGGTGTGAGTCACAATCTCCACCCCATCCATCCGGTTTAACCATGCCGGCACCGACGACCCCTTTTCGCCTTTCGTCTCCCCTCGTTTAACAAACAAGACGAGCTCCTTCTTACGGTAATAATAATCCTACCCTCCCTGGTTTCCCTTAATGAAAGACTTAGAAGACTCGATCAAACTCGTGCGCGAAACGCTTAATCTGCTAAGTCCATCGGGATGAGGCTTGGTTTCGCTTGGTTTGGCTGCCCGTCGGACTGACCTAACCTCACTTCGGGCTTTTCCGTCAACAAGTTAATTCCAATATTTTTCTGGCATACATGGACTGTCTGCCTGCCTGCCTGCCTGCCTGCCTGCTTGGTTGATGGTGTTTTCTATGATAATCCAACTGGATTTCTACATTGACGAACACCTTTGTTCTTCTCGTTATATTTTCAGAAAATATCCGCCATATTTGTCCCCCGATCACGTGTTCGCCAATCAATGAATAGAATTTGTTGTTATTATTATAATTCGATCAAATTTGTTAATTCTACATCGTTAGGTAGTGTTGAAAAGAAAAACGACAGGGGTGGGGAAGGGGAGGTTAGAAGTTTTTAATGTTTACGAATAAAAAAGGAATGATTTATATTAATAATATGCTAATGTATCTTGAACAACAGCCAAAAAAAAAATATATATATATATAAAAGAAAGCAATAGGGTTTACTTTGGTTTAACTCACATTTATCACTTACTAATTTCGAAAGTTAACGCTGGTTATACCGGAATCTACGTGTTCTCGGTCGGACAGCTGACCCCTCCATAAATCTTTCGGCCGGTTGTCCCACCCCTGCCATTCTCCGTTATCACAATATTTTGATAAATATCTCATACACGTTCCGTATACTTTTCTCGCCTCGTAACTCGGCGATATTTATTTGAAGAAAGTAGAAAAATATCTAAAGGACAAGGGACTTCTTTTCTATTTTCTTCCTCAACTTTTTTTTCCTATCTCCTTTTCTGTGATCTCTTTCAGTATATTAAAAGATATTTTATATCATTTCGCGTTCTTAGATATAATATAATACAAACAAAATATTTCCAAACTGAATTGAACGAATTTCTCTCTCGGACAAATCCAATTCGAAAAACAAATTAATTATTGTTTCCTTTTTATTTGAACAAAACACGAAAATAATGTAATAATAAAAAAGAATTACGATTAAATCTCGAAATGAAAAATTCAATTCTTAGAGAGAAAACAACAGCAACAAAAAAAAAAAAAAAGAAAAAGAAAATCAAATCGATGGAAAAGACAATTTTGTTATTAGACATTTTTATTGTCCTAAACGTCGTAATAACGCATAAAAGGAAAGAGAAAAGATTCTTCGTATAAAGGGGGAGGGGGTTGGTTGGGAAATTCAGAGGATCACCGTAGAGAAGAGAAAAGGTAGAGAAGGAACACGGGGATGGGGGTGGGTAGGTGGTGGTTGGGACGATAGTAACCGAGAAGAACATAACGTAACGCCGTACCCTCTTTTGTTCGGGCTCCAGGGAGCAGGATTTAATGAAAAATGGCCGAATTTGTTACATTTCCCGGTAGTGATCCTCTATTTCTAGAGGGAATCGAGCAGACGCATAAGGTCGTACGTGCTAAACGATCATTTGTCCTCTTCATTCGTCATTCTACCATTTAACACACTCGATGGAAACCAATTACAAAATTAATATCTATCTTAAATGATTCGAATATGATTACGATTGTCGAATCGTATAGATAAATAATTTCATTTAAATTAATCCATCATGTATTTATAAATATGATAAAAGTATTCATTTAGTGTATGGGTGTGTGTGTTTTTGTGTGCATCTATAATCAAAGAAATCAGCATTTGCACCCTCCGTCTGTCTCAGTTACAATCAACCCAAGTAAAACAAATAAAATCATGGTCGATTAAAATACATTCCCCTACTTAATACTTTACAAATCACAATTTCGAATATTAATTCATTTACATCGGATAAATCAATTCCTATGGTTTTATAATTCTCGACAATCTTACAATCAGCATACCGTTTCAATCCCGTTGCAATTCTACAACGATGAAATACTTAATTATCACATTCTATCTAACCACAACCAGACCGAAAAAGAGAGAGACAGAGAGACAGAAAGAGTCACCAAAAAGTTCAACGTCACGAAACTAAACATTTTTTTTAGGCTGAACAAGCGGAATGAATGGTAAAAGACGCAATGAACAAAAGGGTCCAGAACAAAAGTTCGGAGAAAGATGAAGAAGAAAAAGAAAAAGAAGAAGAAGAACAACAAGACACAGGAGAAGAGTACCACGGGAAAAAAAAAAGAAAAAAGAAAAAAGAAAAGAAAGAAGCATAAAACTAAATCGGCAGACGTGTCTAGAAATCTTTAACGCATTTTGCTTCGTTAAGTCGAGAGGTCTTTTTTCAACGCTCTGCCACTGACATACCCTCCTCTCACCCTACGGTAGGGTGGAAACTCGCGAAGGGTGTTGTACAAGTAAAACTGTTCAAGTATATATATATATGTATGTATGTGTCAGAAATAGTGATAGAGAGAGAGAGAGAGAGAGAGAGAGAGAGGTATAGAATAAGGCCGCGAACTGGATTTAGTTTGACGAGAAGTTGTGGCAGCGATGCCCGGATGGCGCCTAACTCAATTTCGTTAGTTTAGTTACATTGGCGGCTGGTAACGCGAGGAGCCCAGCATAGGGGATGCTGTGATTAGATTTCCATGTGGGTAGTAGTACGCACTACCTAAGCCTTTATACGTACTAGCTACGATGTTACATACTCTACGACTTCGTATTTCCAATTCCCACCCACCCCCTCCCGCCCCTCCTTCTCTTCTCTTCTGTTCTCTTCTCTTCAGTTTCATCCCTTCCACCATCACCACCACCACCTCCACCAATTCTATCCCTCTCTATCTTTATCTCTATCTCTATCCTTCTTCTTCTTCTTCTTCTTCTTTTGCCACCGCATTTGCCACCTTCAACATCGACCACAAATATTAACTCGACCTACCCTCTTAAAGTACCCCTTCGATCGATCTCTCTCTCTCTCTCACTCACTCACTTACTCAGTCTCTTGCTCGCTCTGATACTCGAGAATTTTCTCTTTACTTTTATTTTATTTTCTTTAGTTTTATGTACGAGTTTTTTTTTTTTTTGGAATTTTCTAATATAACAGATTTTTTTTTTTGGGGGGGGGGAGATAGAAATTATTTATCAAAGAGATATCTGATATTACTTGAGCAGGTTTGACGAGATTAATTTTATTTAATTTGATATTTAATATTTGTTATATTGTATATATATTATAAATCTTACGAATCTTTGATATATTTCTTAGAAGAAATTATTCGATTTCAAAATAAGTATACTTAAATCTATGGGGGATGATATATTATCGAACTTTAAATTTCAAATATGATGGATAACATCGAAGTTAACGTTTCCCCTATATATATATATATATACATTTTTACAAAATAAAAGCTCAATCTTCTGTGAATTGTCGTTGAAGCGTAAAAAATAGAAAAAGAAACAGCGCGTTCTAATAGAAAAGAAAAAAAAAGCAGCAGCAAATGCCATAAGCAAGCCAAGCCAAGTCATGGCAAGTAAAAGCTAACAGAAGCAAGCAAGCAAGCTGGCAGAAAGTTAGGTATAGCAATAGATGCTGTATCGAGATATCCTTTATAAGAAAAGAGTGAGAGTTAGGTAGACAGAGGCCCGTTAGAAAAGAAGATTCGCAGATACATAGTAATAGAGAATTGTCCGGCGATAATCGAACGATAACATCGGTCTTCGCCTTTCTTCATTTTCGTGGTTCATTTAACGAAAATGGAAGTGGCCCCTCCCCCCTACCATCACCCGTTGGAAATAGCTACGTTACTGAACTACTATCCTCTTTTTCGGTTCAGATAAAACTGCACACCGTTCGAATAATACGACCAAGAAAGACAGACAAAAAAACAGAATCCTATTTCACCTTACCCCCCTTTTCTCTTATTCTATTTTTAATCTTTATTTTGTTAATCAACGAAAATAGAAAAGAAATGAACATCTATCCTTCGGATATTCTTGGATATAAAAGAAACTGATGTGTGTATTTATGTACGCATTTAAGAAGTTATACTTTTTTAGCGTATTAAAACGAATATAAACTTCATAACCTCAAAAATAACTTCAATTTGCCCGCGCATTTTAAATATCGACAACTTCGTGGTGTAGATTTTTCGGTTGCACCTAACTTCACTTTCCAAAACGCGCCAAAAGAAGGAAGTATAACTTCAAAAACAGACTCTTGTTATATAATAAAAATAAGAAATGATAAAAGAGTAATAAAATAAAATGAAAATGACAAAAAAAAGAAGAAGTAAGAGAAAAAAAATTGAGAACGTTGATTCTCGCTTGTGACACAGAAATCGAGTTAATCGAACGCTTCCCAGAACGATCCCCCGGACTGTCAGAGTGTGGCAGACGCGAGACACGTGTCTACTACAAAGACGTGCTACGAAAAAAGAAAGAAACAGAAAGAGAGAAAGAATAACTATCGTCTATAACAAAATTATAACGCGGTTGACTTATTTTCCAAGTCGCGTTCCCAGTAGAGAAATTTTCGTAATTCCATCAGTGTATATCTCTGGTACACTATAGAGACCCCTTAGTTTTCGATCCCCGTTAACTTTTAGTCGGTCGACCTATTCTAGGATCTTTGACAGATCCATCAAAAATATATCAACGACAGATATAATAAATCTAATCGATTATATAAAGTATTACACATACGCGTCAAGAACAATGATAAATTTATGAACGTATAGAAATTGATCTCTGTCTCTCTGTTTCTCTTTCTATTTTTATGTTTATGTTATGAAAATTGTGACATAATATAATTTTTAGATAATTGACAAATCCTGTACCTTTAACAGTTTTGTTAGGTGGTGGTCCATCACGACTCCATGGGGGATCACCATGACCCGAGAAGTCTCGGAGTTTGAGGTAAGAGATGGTAAGCCTTATAATGGAGGCTTTGTCCAATTGCGAGGTAATGGCCGCCGGCAAAGGTAACATCTTTGCTAGCTCGTAGAATTCAAAGTTTTCCTTACCCCGTCTCGATCTTGCTGCATCTCGGCTTTTCTCTTTACGCAACTCCAGTATACTGTAATCAAAATGATATATTCTTAATATCGATTAATCTAACAAAACTCTATTACAAATTTCTAGACTCTGTTTTTATCTCATTGTTTATTTATAATTTTTCTTCCCCCCTCMCCCCCCCCCCCTTTTTTAATCATCCTGCATTAAACCTAAAGATTCTTACTAAAGGATTGTGATTAGAATCTAATCAGGTTAATCATAAAAATTTGTTTTACGTTAACTATGATGATTGATTAGGGATCAAAATATATACGAATCGAAAGATAATATTCATATAGTTAGTTAAATGAATATTTTATTTATATAAATTGTCCAATAAATGAATGCGATATTTTTCGAATAAATCAACTGGATATATAAATTGCACGAACTTATTGGATATAACTTAATGATCATTAATATAATAAATGATTTGTTTGTCATCATATTATTTCATATTTTGTTTGTACTTTTGTTGTGTTTGATGTTTAACGTTAACCAGTGATGCATCACCTGGGGATCAAAATTATTGGAGAAATAGGTAACTAATAAGAAGAGGCGTGGCTGTAGAATTTCAGGGATGCCACGGTGATCTGGCAATACGCGGTAAAGCGGCTACCGCTTAAGCAGCATACATTATTCAAGCGCTATCAAGCCCGTGTTTGCTGACAAGCCAGTGAATGTGGCCGAGTGAATACCACCGTAACGTAACCACGCCCCTCTAGACGGCCCCTTGATACCGATTTTACGTTTTAACTGGCCAATGAACGATCTTTACGTGGACACTATATCTATATTTATTCTGTTTCATTCAAACATTTAATTTATTCATATTATTATTAACGAACGGAAAACAAAAGTACTCAATTTTGACTAACTTAACTTACTTATTTGGATACTTTCTTAAGTTCACGGTACGTTTACCAAATAAAATGAAGACTAATCCGAGAAAAACTAAAAAGTGTGTGCAATTAAATGGTCCACCGTTTCAACTTAAGAAGGGTTGAAAACGAGAATGGGCATTTTATTAGACCGCTATTGCGCTTAACGACTGTAAAATGACAATCCTTTATCTTTCTCTTTTGCTCTTACCCCTAATAAAGAAAGAAAGAAAGAAAGAAAGAGGAAGAGGGGAACGTGCAAATACCGCCAAGCTGTGGTAACCCATTATTTTCATCTTTGTCGCGGGAGTCAAAGGTCGTAAAAAGTCGAGTCCTTTAGACCGAGGGGTAAGTTTGTTCCTTCGGCGCGAGCCATTGGCTTCGGTGTAGTTTTGTTTTTGGATTTTATAAACGCACTTCCAAATCCCTCGAGTTTAAAGAAGTAGTAGTAGTAGTAGTAATAGTAGTAGGACAAGAATCTTTTCCCCAAAGGGATAATGACAGTCCCTTTTTCTTAAAGTAACGTTAACTCTACCTGCTGATCTTAACCGATTTATATCTAAATTTGTTGTGTTAAACACAACAGTAACACTTTTCCAAAAAGAAAAGAAAAAAAAAAGTATAGAACATTTTTTTTGTTCTCAATACTTATCAGAAATTTTTTTTTCCTTAACTACAGTGCTACTGTTTTATTTATCAAATTTGTCCGGAATAACGATCACTGGCAACGGTAGACGGATCAAAGACCGATTACACGAGGAGCCACCTTTTCGTTGCTGATTGTGCAAAGATAAAAGGATTGGGTAGAGGGTGGATTTTCTTTGGGTGGTGGACATAAGAGCAGAAAGGCCGTTCGTTCATTCGTTCTTTCGTTCGTTCCTAGTTTATCGTCCCTTCGTTTTCTTACGATCCTTCACGAGTTAGGTCCATCTCCCCAGAGGTACGATACGAGTAGGCAGAAAAGGAACCGTTGCTTCTGTTCTCTCTTTCGTAGCTGCTGTTTCTATTCCTCCTGCTGTTGCTACTGCTGTTGCTGTTGATGCTGTTGATGGTGTTCTATAGCTGGTCTTATATAAAGAGAGAAAAAGATAGATAGAAGCATCTCGTTCGCACGAACGAGCCCCCGCACACACTATTGGGTTGGTTGGTTGGTTGGTTGGTGGTGGCTCCAGACGTGTGAAAATAAAATTACGCCCAACTTTCGGCCAAATTGGTTGAAATTGGGCGGCAGTCGAGCACAAGGCCCTACCGGGAGTCCCTCGGGGTAAAGAGATAGAAGTCTCTCGCGGAACCGATCGTTCTCTTCTTCTCTTTCCACATTTTATTTCTTTCTTTCTTTTCTTTTCTTTTCTTTTTTCTTTCCTTCCTTCCTTCTTTCTTCTTGCTTCTTCCAACGTTTTCTTTATTCCTCTTTATGGACCCCTTCTTACAACATTCCCACACCCATACCTTTTCGTCTTTTATTTTGTTTTCTTCTTTTTTGGCCTCTCTACCCTTCTTGCAACGTGTTCCAACATCTACTTAGGCCTCTCTGCCAAGAGATACGATGGGTCAAGGAAACGACAGCTACTACTACTACTACTACTACTACTAGACTACTGAGTGCAAGAGAGTGTCAAGTGGCTGACATTAATAATTCTCAATGAAACGATACGAGATTAGAGCTGATGGATCGTACTCCTCAGTGGTTTTTCTTTTTTACATTTCTTTGTTTTATTTTTACTTGCTTGCTTACTTTGATCTATCATTCCCCCATCATTCCCACCATGTTTCCCCATTTCGTATTTCATCTTCTTCTATTATCTTACAAGCCTAAATCTCGATCTGTTCGAATCGTCCCACTTGTACTTTTTGTGAAAGCCTTCTCAGAACGATAAAAATAGCATGAAAGAAAGAAAAGGAATGGTAAGGTAAGGAAGAAGGTTAGAAAATAGGAACATCGAATGCTCGCGGAAATTATAATGCGCATCGTGGCACCGGCTCGTCGGACTAATTCAATTAAACAATTCATTTGCCGGTCTGGAGCACCACCTGAGGGCATGTCCCATTCCGTCCGTGGCTTCGTGCCGTGGCTCCGTTCCTCCGTTTGGACGACTTTCTGTGTTAGTCGATATGGTGGAGGCAGAAACGTGAGTTGGAGAAGGACCAAAGCTTGCTTGCTTGCTTGCTTGCCTGCCTTTCCTTTCCTTGCTTTTGCCTTCTCTTCACTTCTCTTTCCTACTCTTACCATTCCCACCCTGTTTTCCCTTGAGAGTCGTAGCCTCGCGCTACAATACAATGCTCCTAATGTTACGGGCTCCAGTTTCGACATAATTTTCTTTCGCGGCGGCCCTTTCGGCTATCAGATGCCTAAGCTTTTGTAGCACTTTGACAAAAGGAAACGTCATTTCCGGTGACCGCTCGATAACGAGAGCTACGTCGTATATATTGGCCAGGGGTGGAAGAGGGAGAAGGGTTGCGGGGTGGGTGGTGAGTAGTAGAAAATTTACCATCCTTTAATCATACTTCTCTTCTATTCCGAAAAATATATTGCTAGAGTTTATACTAATTTTTGATAGACAAGTTTTCGGTTTTCATGACATAGGAAATTGACCAACCCACTTTTCTTCGATATCAATACAATCATTTTTCTAATCATTGATCAAAATATATATTTCGAAAAATACCTCGAATTGTGGTTGCCTGATTTTTGGTGTAACAACGAGTTTTTCTCGACAAAGATGATTATTTAGTATCGTAGAAAAATATGAAACGTTTGTAGGATATTTTGTACGTACATTGGTAGGAAATGACAACATACAACAGAACACTGTTCGTCATAACGATCACACATATACATATATATATATATATATATTTTGATAAACCCGACGTATCGAACTGTCCGCACCTATATTTCAAATTCAGCTTTCATTCCGTTTTATGAATAATTCATGATACGTTTCTTCCTTCAAATGGACCAAAGTATGGCCTACGGTTTGATTCATGACACAACGGTTGACGATCGTGTCGAGGCTTAAGAAGTCTCTCTTTCTCTATCAAAGAGAAAACGTAGCCTTCTGCCCGTTAGTTACATCGTACGATTGCATAAGTCGCTTGCAAATCTCCTACATAATTTATTACTCCAATCGAAACTATAATACTAATATTCAAAATAAAAAAGCATCCTTTTTAACCCGTCTCCAACTCCTCCTCCTCCTCACAAAAATCCTCCCTAGACAATTACAAATATTAAATCAAATCTAAAAATAAGATCATTTCGTGAGAGAACAAAAACACACAGCTGTGGTGGTGGTATCTCTTATTCCCATTTTGTTTTCATTCTTTTCGACGATTTTACAAAACAACATTTCCAAGAACCGGGATATTATTTTCTTAGAAAACGTAGTAGAAGAATCTGAATGAACTTAAACAAACGTATCTCTCCTACAAGATTAAAGAGTTTTGTTAAAACTATTCGAGATGACTACAACATCCGCTGATAAAAATCATCCAGGTATAGAAGAAGTATACGTTTAGGATATTACCAGACTGCAGTGAAGGAATAGAGGAAAAGGAACAAGACGTATGGCTGTTTGTGGACATATATACTGGGTACGTAAGAGGGTACAGAAGGGATGGAAGGGTGGGAGGGAGAGGAGGAGGTAAAAAGATGAAAGAAAGATCGAAAGAGAGAAATAAAAAGAAAAAAAAAAGAAGAAGAAGAAGAAACGAAAGAGGAAAGAAAAAGGATAGAGGGATAGAGTGGAAGGGAAGTTGCTTCTTGATGATGCGCAGATAAGGGAGGGTTTAAAGTCTACGTGATGAGTTTCTCGATGTGTCCGAGCGGAGGTCGAGCCTGAGAACTTTTGGTAAACGCACTCCGCTAACTCTTCAGAATGGAACGGAACGGAAAGGACACACTGAACGAGTCGCAATTTTCTTTAGAAATGAATACTACTTTTGCATTTAACGCGACACAAACGAAGAAAGGTCAATGTTCAACGAAGGAAGATAGATAAATGTAGAAATTGGTTAGATTGTTAATATGATTTGGATCGATTTCTATTACTTGAAAATGTTGGGGAGAAGGGGGGGGGCAAAGGAAAAAGAAAAGAAACACTTTTTTTCCGATCCTACAAAACTTCTTCTTCTTTTTCTT